GGTGGCTGGCCAAGACAGGAGGTTAGGGCTCGCAGCCTAGCTCTGGGTTCAAGTGAGAGACCATCTGAGGTCCTCCTCTGACCTCCTCCTGTGCATGCCTGGGGAGTGCACGTGCATGCGCGCATGGGCACACACAAATAATTTTAATTAAAAAAATTTAATCACAAAAAATTTTAATCACATATTTTATGATACTGATACCCATTTTGCAACCTCATTGGCAAAAATAATAGTAAAGCCAAATGGGCTAGGGCACACCTGTGATGCTGGCACACGTAAGTGATCAGGAGTCCCAGGTCATCCTTGGGTATAGTGAGTTCCAGGCTAGCCTGGGCTACATAAGACCCTGTCTCAAAAGAAAACAATACTAGAACATCAGGGTGATGAGGCCCATTCACTCAGTTACTTGGGAGGCTGAGGCAGGAGAACCATAAGCTTGAGGCCAGCCTGGGGTTGTACTCCAAGAGTGTGTGCTCGAGTGTGCGTGTGCATGTGCGTGCATTCGTGCGTGCGTGCGTGCGTGTGTGTATGTGTGTGTGTGTGTGCATGCGCGTGTGTGTGTGTGTGTGTGTGTGTGTGTGTGTGTGTGCCAAGTGTCTATGTGTCCCCTTGGAGGCCAGAAGAAGGCATCAGATTCCTTGGACATGTTCCCTGGAGTAACAGGGACAGTGGTTTGTGAGACCACTTGATGTGGGTGCTGGGGACCGAACCCAGGTCCTCTGGCAGAAGAGAAAGCTCTCGTAAACCTCTCTCCAGCCCCTAGACTTAAGACCAACGAAAAGGCTGGGGATGCAAGCTGCTTACAGTGTGCTCGCCTAGCACATGGGAAGCCTGTCAGGCATGGGGAGCACGTCCATCAGGCCAGCGTTTGGGAAGTGGGGGCAGGAGGACCAAGAGTTCAAGGCCAGCATCTACCACATACCAAGTTTAAGTCCAGTCTGGTCTATGTGAGACTTTGTCTCAAGAACAAAACAGAACACAAAACGCAAAAAGAGGGGATGGGGAAATTTAAGAAAAAGTAAAAAAAAAGGTTTTGCTTTTGCATTTACTTGGACTACCATTGTAGCCGAAGAAACAACTTCACTACCATCCTTATCTGTCCATAAGCATCCTAGCAATACATACGCTTCCGTGTGTGTGTCTGTCTGTCTGTCTGTCTGTGTGTGTGTGTGTGTGACAGTGTATGGGTGTGTGTGTGCATGCCATGCTATACGTGTGGAGGTCGTAAAATGACCTCAGGTGCCAGTCAATTGCCCCCTTATTTGAGACACAATTTCTGGTTGTCTGTCACAACACACACCAAGCTACTTGGCCGCTAAGTTTCCGGGGATTCTCCCGTCCCCACTTCCCATCTTGCAGCAAAGAGTACTGTGATTACAGGTGTGTGTGAGCATGTCCATCTTCCCACGGGTCCTGGGGATCCGCACTCAGGTCCTCACACTCGTGCAGCAACCACTGAGCTACCTCCCCAGGCTTTCTCCCTCTTATACATTAAGTCCTAGTAAATACAGAACTGACCGGGTAAGCAAAATTTAAAACAAGCCAGAATTTAACATGTCAAAACACACACTCCTACTCTTTCTCCTACCATCTGACGGCTGCTTGTGCTGAGCTGAATGGGCAGCGAGGTGACACTCGGGGTACAGCATTGGTTGGGCCACTGGAAGGGACAGTAGCCAAGTGACATTTTGAAACAATGCCGACAGTTAAGGACAGACTTCCTGGAAGAGGCTGCTCCTGGGACACCGGAAACAACACAGCAGTGCCCCATAATTTACAAAAAGCCTTCTTGTTTATTATTTAATGCATTCCACACCAAAAACCCGCAAGGTTAAGTATTAGGTTTATTTTGTATATGTGTGTTGTATGCTTATGTGTGCAGACGCACGTTCCTCTGTGTACACACAGGTAGAGCCCAGAGGTCAGCACTGTGTGTCTTCATCTATTGACCTCCACCTTATTATTACTTTTTGAGGCAGTGCACTGAACTTGAATCTCACCGACTGGGCTAAAACGGGAGCTGCACCTGTTTTGTTTTGTTTTAATGTGGGGTCTGAGGATCTGAACTCAGCTCCTCACGCTTGTGCATCAAGCATAATACTTGCTGAGTCGTCTCCCCAACCTGTATGATTTTTATTTTACAGCTAGGGAATTGAGGAGTAGGGAAGTCAGGTCGTTTGCCTGAGGGCACCCAGTCCCACACATCAAATCACATCCCCCTGTGCTTAGCCACAAAACTGAAATGTCTCCTAAGGGCTGGGAATGTGGCTCAGTGGGTAGAGGGCTTGCCTAGAATGCCTGAAGCTCTTGGTTTTATTCCCAGCACTGCATAAAACCAGCCACAGTGGGACACTCCTGCGATCCTAGCACTTGGAGGTGGAGGCAGGGGGATCGGGAATTGAAGCTCAACCTTGTCTTCACTGCTAGTTTGAGACCAGCTGAACCACAAGAGACCCTGTCTCAAAACAAAAAGAAATGCACAGAACACAGAACGCAGATGTCTTCCGGATCTGCCCAGGACGGCAAGGTAGCCCAAGGCGGTGGTTAAAGGTTGGGACCACTTCCCCCTGTGTGACCCGGCAAGTTATTTCACCTCAGCAGGCTTCAATTTCCTCTGAGCAAAATGGGGCAGATAAGCACTCCAGCAGCTCTTGTGAAGATTAAAGACAGCAAATAAAGCACTGTACTTAGAGGGCCTCCCAACATAGTTATTAGCTACAATTATTATTATACTACCTTTGCTGATTCTCTTGGTCTCTTAAGACACCAATGTTTTTGGTTTGGGGTTATTGAAATTCTTTCTGAGATAGGGTCTCACTCTGTGTAGCCACGGTTAGCCCAGGAGCTGCTGTTAAGACCACACTGGCTTTCAAGGATCCTCTTGCTTCTGCCTCCCGAGTGCTGGGACTGCAGGAGTGTCTCACCCTGGCAGCCAGCTCTAAAGAGTTCCAATAACTGAGTTGGATCCTGGTGGCTCACACCTATAATCCCAGCACTAGGGAGGCAAAGGCAGGGAGATCGATGAAAGTTCGAGGCCAGCCTGGTCTACATAGAGAGTTCCAGGCCAGCCGGAGCTGCATAGTAAGGTCCTGAGTCAAAAGAGTTTCAACAACTGAAAAATTCTCTACCTCAACACACACACACACACACACACACACACACACACACACACACACACACACACACACAGGAAATCTGGCTAATTTACAAGTGTTCTAAAGATGGTAAAATGAAACACTGGCCTACCACACTTCTGGTTGGGTGTTCCTTGGACAATTAGGGAAAATGTTAGTCGTGGCTGGAAACATTCAAATGTTAAATTTCTATCACTCCATGTTAAGTTCAAACTTTTTTAAATTCAAATGAATCTTTGGTGTATGTGTGTGTGTGTGGGGGGGGGTTGTCCATGGTACACCATGAGTGTGGAGGTCAGAGGACAATGTGGACAAGTTGGTTCTCTTCCTGGGATGAAACTCGGGTGGCCAGACTAGTTGGCAGGAACCTTTACCCCTGAGCCTGTCCGTCCATCCGTCCGTCCGTCGTCCCCCCCCCCCAAGCGCCAACTCTTGGGTCTACTTACTGCTCCAGTTTTGAGTTATCTGAGATTCTCAAAGGAATGGATGCTATTAAATAACTCCAGTTTCTTTTCTTCTTTCAGTTAAAAAAAAAAAAAAGTAGTGGAGGAGAAAATATAAAAACTTTTTTTTTTTCCAGGAACGCCCAAGGCTAAAAAGGGGTCAGTTGGGAAGATCTGAGGGAAAAGCTCCTAACCCAGTTGAACCCTGCGAGGCCAGTGAATTACCTTCCCTCAGACACACGTAGTGGATCCAAGGGTCTCAGAGACAGGAGGTGGATTAAAGTCCCCTGGGCTAACGTCTTTCTTCCTTGGGCAGTCCATTTATAGAGCACACGGGCCCTCCCTATCTCTTCGATCTGTGCTACCCACAGAACACGACAGGGGACCAGCCTTTGGCAGAAGTCAACTGGATCTGCGAAGTAGAACTCTGAGAGCCAGAGTTGAACAGGGAATCTACCCGCACAGCTTCGGCAGTGGGATCCTAAGGGTTGTATTCTCAGAAACGGATTTGACATACAGATAAACTGGTGACTGCCCCGCGCCTCACAGCTTGATTCAATCCAATCAATACAATAAGCATAAAAGCTCAGGGTAAAAGCGGATAGTGGTTTTGTTGATAGTCGCGGTGGAATTTTGGCCACGCGCCCTGGTCAGACCAGACAAATAAGGCGGTCTGCTTATTAGCAGTCAGGCATATTTTGGAGGGTGAAAACAAAACCTCAAATCAGGATCCTGGGTCTCATTGGACAGCTTATTCCCGACACGCAGGGGCCTGACAGTTCAAGCGCCTCAACTCCGGTCCCAGACTGCACGTCCCCATTCCTCCAGTCCCCCGGGTCATTTTCCAAGTTGAGCCACACTTCGCATTTCCTACATTCCTTCTCATCACTCAGACCCCTTCGGCCCGGCCTCAGAGGCCAACAGCTGGGGCTGCTGAGAGCCAAGTTAGCGGCACCGTTGAACGGGACGCTTAGGAGTGGGGGGCGAAGTCAATATGCACATGAAGCGATCAAGAGCACCCTTCACACCCGCAGGCCGGCGTCCCCACACTTGCAAAAACCAAGTATCTCTCAAGTGCTTGCTCTACCCAGGAGCACCCCTTCCCGTACCCAGGAGTCCCCTTTCCATGTGCCTTCCTTTGGCCTCCCTGGTGACCCCTGATGATGCTCACTGGGTCTCACCAGCTCATCCTCACAGATCTGCAGGTCCGCGGAGTGCACCCTGATCCCCAGGCCAGTAGGGATGCCCAGGTCTCTGACTTCCCTGGAACCCCCCTAGTTCCGTACCCCAACATTATTCTGATTGCAACCACCTTGCCTAATCCTCTCCCGGGCCTGCAAGACCCTCACTCCCTTCCAAGCCTCTCCAGCACTCTGCACCACTCCGGGTGCCCCAGGGATGCCCCAGGGTTCTCGAACCTCACCTGAGTCCGCTCGAAGCTCTCGCGCTCCGCAGCCTCCATCCCAGCACCAATCCCACGCCGGCTCAATACTTTGGGCAGCGGGTTGGGTACCTGCTTCATGGAGCTGGCCATCCGGTCCATGTTCCCAGGGTGAACAGAGAGTCAGGGGCCTCGGCAGCCCCGGGATCCCCGCGGCGCCTCCCGCCCCGCCCTACCCGCGGGGATCCGGCGCTAACGGGGACAGATTCCGTCTTCCATTGGTTGACAGAGCTGTCCATCTCCCTCAGGACCCACCCCATCTTTCCAAGAGGCTTTTCCCCACACGCCTCCTCCCATTTCGGAGGCGCTCCGTTCACTTCGCCCGGCTGGCCCGCCTTAGGGCAGTTGACCCGTTATGATTGGTCTCAAGGCTTGTCCATTATCATTAGTGGGCGGGACCTGGTGAGCTGCTGTCCCAACCTGCCCTCCGAGACCCCGCCTCCTACCTGGTGCACCACCTCCCGGGTCCCCAAAGGCTGTAGATACACTGTGATTGGTCTGAAGACTTGTCTGTCATCATAGCGGGGCTGGCCCTGGCCCGCTGTCCCAACCTTCCCGCGCTGGTTCCACCCTACATCCGTCGCTCCGCCTTCTCACCCCGCGCAAGACCACAAAAGCATCATGATTGGTCTGAAGGGTTGTCCGTCATCTTCACGGGGCGGGGCCTGGCTGCCCCAGACCAGCCCTCCCTGACTCCACCCTACTTCGAAGCGCCACCTCCTGGACCCTCCGCAACTGCAGGTACTGGAGCAATCAAAGCAGTGGTCCGGCCGGTGACACCTGTGGTTCGCGTTGCTCAAATGAGTTCCCGAGGGCATGGGACGGCAGATCGTGGGAAGCTTGGCTGCACAGCTCTCACCCGGCTCTCACCCGGCTCGCGGGGGAACTCCAAGTTAGTGTGGTCCGGCGATGGAGGCCTCAGAGGTCCTCCTTCCGGCGCATGCGGTCTCTGCCCATTCTAGAGGACTGCAGCCCCGGATCCCCAAGTACTGGACTGTGACTGCGGGTACCTCCCCAGCTTTCATCATCCCAGCTTTACCTGCTGGTAGAACCCGCCCCCCATACTTCTTGTTTGTCAGTGTTAGGGTCCGCCCCTCTCATCCTGCTATGATTTCAGCCAAGAGCAGCTACATGTGCTCCTCAGCAAGGAAAAAAAGTTGCAGGTTCTCCACTAATGACGGATGGCACCGTAAAGCATTTAGCCGGTTTGATGATTCCTCCCATCCATCCATGCGCTAGAACCCAGGGTCTCACTCGTATTGGGCAATGCTTTAATTAACGATAGAATCAAACTCGTTCTGCAGCTGAGTCCCTTGAACCCCGGATCCTCTTGCCTCTTCCTCCCAAGTGTCAGGATTACAGGCGTGGGCCACTATGCTTGACTTATAAAAAAAATGTATGCGTGTATATGTACCGGTGTGCATGTGTGTGGGCGTGATCGTGCTGCCGTGCACCTGACAGATAGCAAATAGGAATCTGTTTTCTGCCACGTGGGGCCCAGGGATCTGACTAGGGTAGTCAGGGGTTTGCAGCAATTAACCCACTGAAGTATCTCACCAGCGGGACTCTTTAAAAAACAACAGCGGTTCACTAAGTAGTCTAGGCTGGCCTTGAACTCCCAGCAATCCTGCCTCAGTCTCTTGAATGCTAAGATTACAGGCACACACACCCACAGATCCCCCAGCCTCCCGCAGTGGCCGTGTGTGTGTTTGCATGCATGAGTGCACCCATGCACATGGAGACCTGAAGCTGATGTCAGCAATTATCCTCTTATCACTCTTGCATCTTATCCATCAAGGTGGGGTCTCATGACACCCAGAGCTTACTGCTTATGTGTGGATGTTTGAAAGAAAATGCCTCCCCGCAAAGGGAGCGGCGCTATGAGGAGGTGGGGCCTTGATGGAGTAGGCGGGGCCTTGATGGAGTAGGCGGGGCCTTGATGGAGTAGGCGGGGCCTTGATGGAGGAAGTGTGTCACTATGGAGGTGGGCTTTGGGGGGGTCTCATGTATGCTCAAGATACCGCCCAGTGTTTCAGATCATTTCCTGCTGCCTGTGAGTCAAGATGTAAGAACTCTCAGCTCCTTCTCCAGCACCGTGTCTGCCTGCTTGCTGCCTTGCTGACTGTCATGACGATAATGGACTGAACCTCTGAACTGTAAGTGAGCCACCCCAGTTAAATGTTTTCCTTTATAAGAGCTGAGTGGTCATGGTGTCTCTTCACAGCAATTGAAACCCTAAGACACTGTGGATATCAGCACTGGCCAGTGTAGTGCAAATTCTAATTGGCCTTAATAATAAAAACCCAGAGTCAGATACTGGGGTAAATGCTGAAAAATCAGAAAAGTAAAGGAGCAGCCAAAGCCACCTTTTGCTTCTACAACTTCTCAGACCAAAAAAGGGGGCTGAGCTCCTGTTTCCTCCCGCCTTATATTACGGCCTCCACCTCCCTAGTGCTGGGATTAAAGGTTTGAGCCTCCACCACCCGGCTCTGTTTATCTTTTAGACCAGATCAACATGTAGCCCAGGGTGGTCTTGAACTCCTGATCTTCCTGCTTCTTCCTCCCAAGTGCTGGGATTAAAGGTGTGTGCCACCACTGCCTGGCCTCTATGGTTTAGTGCCTAGCTCCACACCCTGATCTCCAGGCCAGCTTTATTTGTTAGAGCACAAACAAAATATCACCACAAGCCGGTTTGCTCTGGATATACCCTGTCTCCTACTTCTGAGACTGGACTTTCAGGCAGGCAGTCCTCCACATCCACCCAGCAGAGGATCCCAATTCTGGTGATGCCCAGGCTTGATCAGCAACTGCTTTAACTTCTGTGCCCTCACTGAAAGAGGAGATTAATTTGAAACTGCTAATGATTTCTCTCTCTCTCTCTGTCTTTCAAGATTTATTATGTATACTGTGTTCTGCCTGCATGTATGCCTGCAGGCCAGAAGAGGGCACCAGATCTCATTACAGATGGTTGTGAGCCACCATGTGGTTGCTGGGAATTGAACTCAGGACCTCTGGAAGAGCAGCTCCAGTAATTTTTTTTTTAAAATTAGAAACCTTAGGTAAAAATTCATTCAATAGAGACATAAAAGAGGGAGTGAGCATTTACAAGCACCAGGGAGCCTCTGAAGACTTTTCTGTGCCACACTGGCATTGTGGCCACCAGGTTACCCAGCCTGGATGAAAGTGAAGGGGCCGAGGGGGCAGTGTCATCGGTAGGCCCATGGCTTAGTCAGGGTTTCTATAGCTGTGATGAAGCACCATGTCCATAACCAAGTTGGAGAGGAAAGAGTTGATTTGGCTTTACACTTCCACATTGTGGTTCATCACTGGAGGAAGCCTGGGGCAGGAGCTGAGGCAGAGGCGGTGGAGGGGTGCTGCTTACTGGCTTACTCCTCATGGCTTGCTCAGCCTGCCTTCTAATAGAACCCAGGACCAGTAGCCCCACCCACCACGGGCTGGGCCCTCCCCCATCAATCAATAATTAAGAAAATGCCCTACAGTTGGGTCCTATGGAGGCATTTTCTCAATTGAGGTTCCCGTTTTTTTGGATGACTAGCTTGTGTCAGGTTGACCTAAAACTAGGTCAACAGGACAGGACAGCAGATGAGGATCTGGAAGAGGAGAAAGTTCTTCCTCTTAGGGAGTCGTGTGTGTGAGCGTGTGCCAAGGGAATGTGGGAAGAGAGGCAGTGATGAGGCAGGGATGTCAGGAGAGGGGCTTCAGAGCACCAGAGTGATGGGAAGATTAGCTTGAGACGATATTTGTGTAGAAGGAGGTCATCTATAAACTGCATAAGTGTGTTTGGGCACCGGGGTCGGGAAGTATCTGTCCAGGTTCTAGAAGGAAAGACATCAGGGCCGGGGAAAGGCCTCTTGGTAGGATACTTGTCTTGCAAGCATAAGGGTCAGAGTTCAATCCCTAGAACCCCCGTCAAAACCCAGGCGTGGTGGTTTGCACCTGTAATTGGAGCAGGGTAGTTGGTCAGCTAACTTAGTCTGCGTGGTGAGTCCCAGGCCAGTGAAAGGCCCCGTCTCCAAATGTGGAAGGTGCCTGAGGGGAACTGAGGTTGTCCTCTGCTCTCCACGCACATGGGCACCCACATCTGCACACGTGTACACACACACACACACACACACATATACACACATACGTACACACGTACACCCACACCTGCACATGTACACACACATGTACACCCACACCTACACATGTACACACACATGTACACCCACACCTACACATGTACGCACACACACATGTACACTCACACCTGTACATGTACGCACACACACATGTACACCCACACCTGCACATGTATGCACACACATGTACACACACATGTACACCCACACCTGCACATGTACACACACGTACATGTATGCACACACATGTACACCCACACCTGCACATGTATGCACACACATGTACACCCACACCTACACATGTATGCACACACACGTACACCCACACCTGCACATGTACACCCACACATGTACACCCACACCTGCACATGTACACCCACACCTGCACATGTACACCCACACCTGCACATGTACACACACACCTACACATGTACACACACATATGAACCAGGGAATAGTGAAAGCTGTTCCTAGCTCCTCTTTAAACATTTGCTTTAGATTAATTTGTATGTGTGTTTTTGCTTGCATGTATGTATGTTCCCACAGAGGCCAGAAGAGGGTATCGGATCCCATGGAATTAGTTACAGATGGGTGTGAGCTGTCGTGTGGGTGCTGAGAATTGAACCCAGAGTCTCTGCATGATCAACAAGTGGTCCAAACCACTGAGCCATCTCTCTGTTTCTATCTTTTGACCTGAAGGGACGAGGGAGGGGCGGAGCCATCCTGGAATCAGCCAGGACTTGGGTCTCTCAAGAGGCAGGACCTGCCTCCTGCAGAGCTGGGCCTTTGTGTCTGAAGCCAGTCACTGTGGGGACAACAGACTGGCAGGGAAGGGAGATTGGGGTGGAACCCCGACCCCTCAACATTCTAACTTCTTCCTCTGATCAGTCAAACTCAGCTAGATGTAAAAGGTTGGGAAAACCCTATGGCCCCTTCCTTCCTTCAAAGAACAAGTAAGCCTCCCCTCCCCTCCCCTCCCCTTCTCTCCCCTCCTCTTCCCTCTCCTCCTCTCCTTCCCTCTCCCCTCTCCTTCTCTCCTCTCCTCTCCTTTCCTCCCCACCCCTCTTCTCGGTCTCTCTCCCTCCCTCCCTCTCTCCTGTATGTTGAGGGTGGCGCATGGGGTGACTGTGTATACATATACACTCATCCACCTTGGATTTGGTTATTTTTATTCATTCATTTATTTTGAGACGGGGTCTCACTGTGTAGCCCTGGCTGGCCTGGAACTTGCTATGTAGACCAGGTTGGCCTCGAACTCATAGAGCTCCATCTGCCTCTGACCTGAGTTCTAGGATTAAAAGCATGTACCACCATGCTTGGTTGTTTTGTTTTGTTTGAAACAGGGTCTTACATGTAGCTCTGGTTGGCCTGAAAGTCACAGAGATCTGCTGCCTCTACCTGTCTCCCAAGTGCTGGGATTAAAGATGTGGCCACTGTGCCTGGCTTCTGCCTTGTTTTTTGCTTTGTTTGGTCTTTGTTGTTGTCCTGCTTTAAAAAAAATTGTGTGTGTGTGTGTGTGTGTGTGTGTGTGTCATGTGTGCAGGTGCCTGCAGAAACCAGAAGAGCGTGAGCGTGTCAGATCCCTTGGAGCTATAGATGGTTTGAGCCACCCCACATGGGAACCTCTTGGGTCTTCTGGTAACTGCTGAGCCGTCTCTCCAGTCCTGGACTCCTACCTTGTGCTTTTTGAGGCAGGGTCTCTCCCTGATCCTGTGCTCATTACAAATGCCAGCAAGCCCTAGGGATCCCCCCCACTTCGGTTCTGGGATTACAAGCAGGAACCACCACATCTGTTTTGTCTTGTTGGTGGTGGTGGTGGTGTGTGTGCGTGTTTCATGTGGATTTAAGAACTCAGGTCCTTGTGCTTGTAAGACAGGTACTTGGCCAACTGAGCTTCCAGCCCCGTACCCAAGGGAATGGTTTCCAAACACCAGGGGACAGACAGTGAATGCTCCTAACACTCTGACCCCGCTGTCACCGTTCCGAGTTCCACACTTGTCTTACGCACTGGGCTCAGCTAGAGACAGATTTAGGACTCCTGGTCTAGATTTTATGGCATCAATAAACACCAGCCTTTTAAACAGGGATTAAGGGATCAGCCTACTTCTATTACAGTAAACCAGAGTGGGAATGAGGAATTTGTGGTTTGGAGGCACCGGTTAGGGGAAGATTCAAGTGTGTTTTCCCGTGAAACTCAGCAAGTCAGAAAGAAAGAACCAGGGCTGGCGGGGGTGTGGGAGGGTTGTGGGGGGCAGTACAGCTCATTTTCTTATAGTGCTCGTCTAAGCATGCAGGAAGCCCTGGGTTCCATCCCCAGTACCGCATAAACCTGGTAGTATGTGCCCATCATCCCAGCACTCGGGAGGCAGAGGCAAGAGGCTCAAAAGTTCAAAGTCATCCTTGGCTCCATAGGAAGTTCCAGAACAAAATCAGCTGAATGAGACCAGTCAAAAGCAAGACAGGGCAGTGAGATGGCTCAGCAGGAAAAGGCACCGGCTACCCAGCTTGGCAACCGGAGTTCGATCCCTGGGATCCACGTGGAAGAACCCTGCGGGTTGTCCTCTGACCTCCACATGGGCACACACACGCACACGCACACACGCATGCGCGCGCACACGTAATTTAAAAAATGGTACAAGTGTGGAGAGAGTTCAATTGTTGTTCTCCCTGAAGTTCCGAGTTAGGTGCTCAGTATTCCTTGTCAAACAGCTTGCAACCACCGTCGACGCCAGCTCCAGGGCATCCTAAATCCTTTTCTGGCTCCCAGGGCCACTGGCGCACACACATAATGGGTGAAGCTTGTCCCAGATAGCTTGGATCTGTTTAGCATCTCCTTTGAGGACACTCCAGTGTTTACAGGCATGGATTGGGGTCTGCAGAACACCCCCTGGGAGAGTGAGGTTCTTTGATCCCAGAACAAATAATTGAACCAGGACCATTTCTTAAGAAAGACACTCACGATGGGAGTGGGCCAGGGGGCTGGCGAAGGGCAGTACTCAAATGGTCCTAGGTCA